CAACTTGAAGTTACAGAACCTTGAAATCAGAGTGAACCACTGAATCACTGCCAAGTCTCCAGGCAAATACACAAACATTTCAAAGGGTGATAGCTGGGCCCCAGGAGACGGGAGGGCTTCTTCCTGGTAACCCACTAAGCTCTTCTGTGTTGAGCAAACACTGCGTGCATGGGAGAAAGGAAAAACCTGAACAAAGAAAGGAGCAGCTGGGGCTTCTGTGCCCCTTGGCAGCAGGGCTGAAGTCATCTATGTCGGGGAGGTGCAGGGTTAGGCAAAGGACTAAAGTGAGACTCAGGCAAAAGTGAAAACTGCAGCACGGGGTCTATTTGCTCAAAGTGGGTGCTGAAAGATTTTTTTGTTGTGAATCATATTTTGTGGGATGTCACACTGATCTGTTTGTTTGTTTTTTAAGTAGAGTTACCTAGCACCATGGAAGAAGGGATTTGCAGAGAGTAAGGTTCAGAGAACATCTTAATCTTCACATATGTGGAGGAGGGAAATAATAATTGCCTTAAAATACAGGAAAAGTTTATATTGTAATTGAAAGTATTTTCCTAATTGTAACATAATATGTGCAGATATTACTAATCACTAAAAAAACAGCTCTTTACATTCATATTCAGAATAGCAATGATTTCTCTTTGTTATCCTCCAACTTCCAAAATGCCTTCTGGGATGATAAATGTGTTCTTGTGCTCTGAAGGGCCCAATCCTTCGTCAAAAATAACAGCCATACTAAATACAAGTCTTTGGATAGTTCTTCAATTTTATGGATAGGTAAATTTCATAGGCAAGGCTCAAGTAAACCTCTAATCTTATCCTCCCTGTGCCATTTTTTGTAAGGAGTCAAGTATCCAAGGACTTTTGTATCTGTGCGCAATCCTGGAGTCATCCCCACTGATACCAAGGAATGACTATAATACACTTTCTTAAAGGTAAAAACAGGGCCCACCAAGGACCTGACAAATGAGGATACCCTGTCTCTGACCACAAGACCCACGTAAGAAACATAAACTGCAGCTTCAGTTTCAGCTTCTACATCCCAAATTTTATGTTGAAAGATCTGATTGATCTGACTGGCTCCTTGGAACCAATCAGGGACCTCGACAGCCATCTCTTCCTGGTAAAGACTGCTTTGAGACACTGATTTCTAAAGAGGTTTGCTTCTGAAATAATGCCTGGGAGTCTTGAGATTTTAAAATTATAATTTCAGTTTACCTTAATTTCTTATCTGACTCACATCTCATCTGGCAGATGCAGACACTGACCCGCTTAAAGGCCTCATCTTTCACCAGAAACTTTGTCTCTTGTAACAGCTACAAGGCACTGTTTTCAGCGTTCCCAAGAAGGATACGCAATTATGCAAGAGCTGACACCCTCAGGACAGCCAAAATTACAGCCTCCTCACAGGGCACTTATGGGAACTTTATAGTCGCTCCCTGTCTAGATGCAATTTATCAAGCAGGAATCCTTTTACCGTGGGCAATACTGCCTCTAACATAATTCACGTTGTGTCTTTATCTGCTCTCCAGTGGAACAGAGATAGAATGTTAACTAAATGCCACATACTTATGATTGAAAGGGAAGAGGTTTTGTTACTACTTCTCACAATGTGTTCTTTAATGTACTTACTGGTGTTGACTGACTGGATTTGAAATTGCTCTCAATTAGTGAAAGATGAACCACAGTCTATTAGTGGAGTTAGGCAAACACCTCTCCTATATGCTTTGGTAACCTCCCACTTTTCCTGCCCAAAATATCTTGATTGCCCAGAAGCATTACAATTCATTTAAGACCACTCCATTCCATGGGGGGAAAATCAACCCTAACTGGGTTGAGATAATCAACTGATGGAGGGATTCACAAGAAGGGGTGGGAACAAAAGAAGAGGAAAGTTGTCCAAGACTGACAAGGATTTCGGGACCTCAATATTGTTTCAAGCGATTCCTCAATCACACGTCTACCGGTCCTCCAAAAGCACTTATGCGGTAAAAGAGAAGCCTACATTGCTACTGCAGGTTCGTAGGATGCCCTAGACTAGGAGACCTCGAGAGGAGGTTGTTCTCTGAAGGAAAGAACAGGAAAACATAACATCAATGGAGCAGCAATGACCACAGCAATTGCAGGCAGAGGCTGCAGTTACAGACACGGTATCTCAGTTCCTGCATGGGCCTAGACAAGTGACCTCTCCAAGACCACACAAACCTGAGAGGCCAGAACGTTCTGTAATGGGGCGGAAAATCTCTAGGAAAGATCAGACATCCTACATGAGAATGTGCACTCCGGCAGTTGTATTTTTCCACCGATGGCCACAACATATCTCCCGTCCTACAGGTGATGTTGCTACGCCTCTCATTAAGAGGTGGGTCCATTTCTCCTCTGCTGAAAAGCAGGTAGCCTGTGGCTGCTTTACGTCTCCAACTATAACAGTGGATTCATTTATTATTCCTTGCATATTTTTGCCTCATGTATTTTGATGATAGTTGTTAGGCATATTCACATTAAAGACTGTTACATATTCTTGGAGAATTGGTCCCTCATAGGACATTCTACCTATACAGAATAATGGGTTTCACCTTGGCATATTTACACATTCATTTATCATACTTAGATCATTTCCACCCCGTAGCCTCTACCCTCCTTACCTGTCCTCACCCCTTCTCCCGATTCCCTTACTCTTATCGAAGGTAATCTGAATTGGTCCTAAATTTTTCTTGCTCTAAAATCTGCTCTGTTTGAAACTAAAATAACTACTCAGACTTTCTTTTGATTGTGGCAGCATGTCGTATCTTTTTCCCTTTATACCTTCATTTTTACCTCCAAATTTGCTTTATGTAATTGGGTAGATTTAAATTAGTGAACAGAAAGTTAAACAAGATACTAAATTCTCCTATAATGCAAATACAAAGAACCTTCAAGAAACTTGTTTTGTATGTAGAAAAGTGTTCTACCTTTGTATTTGTATTTAAAATGGGCTTCTTAGGGCCGGGGATTTAGCTCAGCGGTTCGGCGGACTGCTTCGCAAGCTCAAGGATCCAAGTTCGATCCCCAGTACCAAAATAAAATAAAATAAAATGGGCTTCTTATAGACAACATAGATCCTCTCTGATATTCTCTTCTCATAAATTAATAGTTTCTGATAAAAAGATTAGTATCTATTTCTATTCTTTTCCCTGTTCTTTGCTTCTTTTTTGTCTGCCACTCATTTTCTGCTTTCTCTTCTTTTAACTAAGCTTTTTTATTAGTCCACATTCATTATTTTTTTACCCTTTCACAGTTACCCTTGGGATTGCATTGTACATTTAAAACTATCTGCTTCCACTTTCAACACTACCATTCCGTGAATAGAAAAGTATTTTAATAGAATATTCTCAATTTCTCCCTCCCATACTTTATAATACTGTTCTCATTTAATTTATCTCTAAGTTAGAATGGCCCAATAATCAAAAATTGTTGTGGTTCTTAGAACAGTTATTTGTTAGACCATCTATATGTTAGGTCAATTAAGAACATGAAAAAGTAAATATTTTGTATTGCCTTCACTTACTCTTTCTCTAAAACTCTTCCATTTTTTATACAGATCAGAGTTCCTAATCTATCTCATCTGTTTTTTCTGAAGAACTTTTTAAATTAAAATTTATTTCTAACTGACACCTGCAAGGTGAGTCTACTGGATAAAAATTCCTTCAATTTTTGCTTGTTTGAAAAAGCCCATTTAAATTCTTCAGTTTTGAAAGATAATTTCACTACAGAATTCGTAGTAGTTGATTTTTCTTTTTAAAGTTTAAATATTTCACTTGACTCTCTTCTTATTTACAGGGTTTCTGAGGAAACTATAATTGTTATCCTTGTTCCACAGAAAACAACAATGATAAGATAGAAATGCAGCTTCTTTCAGGATTTTCTTTGTGTTTGGATTTTTGAATTAGATATGACTTGGCATATGTAACTTATTCACCTTGGTATTCTCTAAAGTTTCAGCATCTGTAATTGGATGTCTACCTCTAACTGTGGAAAATTCTCAATCACTATTACAAATATTTCTTCCATTCTTTTCTATTCTTCTCCTGGTATTCTCATTACTCTCATGTTGCATTTTTTTAATTGCCTCAGTTACTGGATATTTTGGTCACTCTTTTTCATTCTTTTTTCTCTTTGCATTAACGTTTTGGAATCTGTAGAGACATTTCCGCGAGGTCACAGATTTTTTTTTTCCACAGCAGTGAACAGTCTGATGAGCCCACCAAAGGAACTGTCAAGTTCTATTACAATTGTTGCATTCATTTCTAGCGTTTCCTTTTTATCCTATATTCACATTTCCATCTTTCCTTACATAACCCATGCATACGTTATGTGGTATATTTTTTTCTATTAGAGACTTTAATGTAAAATTTTCAGTTTTTACTCATAAGCCTGTATGTTCTTTCGACCCTTAAATGACTTCTAAAGTAACTGAAATAACGTATTTCATACATTTTAATTCATCATCTACAGATATACTACAAATATACCATTATATTACATACCACTGAAAAAGAAATAGTCTCCAAATACACTATCTTTTGAAATCTTAATTTAAATCCTTGATTCTGTTGCTTAATGAGCAATAACAAATTGCCACAAAATTCAGTGGCTTAAAGAAATAACCATTATTTTACTTATAATTCTAGGACTCAGTAATACGTGCAGAGTATCTCAACAGATATGCTCAGTGTGGTTTTAGCTAGGCTTGACTGGAGTTGAAATATCTAAGATTACTTCTTTCACATTAGTTAAACTAATCAAAATATATATTTCCCTACGCATACACAAATTACCCAATTTGACTAATTTAAGAAAACAGAAATCAAAGCTAAAAGAGGAATAAAGAGCGGTGCAGAAAGTGGAGCCCTTTCCACCCAAGAATCCAAGAATCCAAGAATCCAACTGGTCCACTAAAAAAAAAAAAAGGAGCGGACGCCGAATACTGTGTCATCTCCCGGGGCCGGAATCGCGATTACCTGACAGGAAAAGCCTGGGTGGTACGTCTAGAGCTCACTTTAGCTTCTGCCCGAAGCTATACAGTCAGATTGACAAGGCCGAATAGAAGTCTCTCTGTACTAAATACTGTAGCTGTGTAAATGCATCTAATATAAACTGTCTCCAGATGTGTTTTGCTTTTACCTTTCTTATAAGCGTCTCATTTTGATGTCGCCCAAACAAAAGATGGCGGCGAAGGCACGAGGGTCTTACCATAGAGTCTCAGGCCTAGAGGAGCCGGGGGGGGGGTTGTCCTGTGTGCAGGGAAACGCGACCTAGGACCCCGCAGGAAGCCGGAAGCTTGGGGCGTGGCCAGTGGTGGGCAGTTCCTGCGTCTGCGCGAAGATGGTGGAGGAGGAGAGCGTCCGCGTGGTGCATTGTGGAGGCAGCGAGTTGAACTTTAGGAGAGCAGTGTTCTCTGCAGACTCTAAGTACGGGGGCTCCTCGTGTGGTTGGCGGGCTGAGGGACGTGAGTTCCCGCAGAGTCGGGGAACGAACTGTGAGGCGCGCCGAGACCTGGGCTCGGATGAGGAGGGGCGCGTGCCGGACACCTCGGGGTGCCCGGGAGGCAGCAGGCGCCTGTGAGGAGCGAGGCCCTTCGGTCCCGGGACGCTCAGGCTGGAGACAGATACACATGAGCACGGCAGAAGGCACATTGGCAACCTGTGTTGGAACTTTGCGTGAAAAATGATGTTAGATTATGTGGGAGGTAAAAACGGCTCGCCCTGGTGTCTTCCCGGAGTAGTTCAGTGTAGCTAGAAACCAAGCTATTCTCAGGGTTCCAAACCTTATTTTTCACATAGTGGGGACTGTCCAGGCTTCTTACTCTGCCTTAGTCTCTTCTGTAAAATGGGGATATTTGATGTCTGCCTGTCACAGGGTTAATGAAAGAATTAAATGCCTATTTAAAGTCTGTACAACAGTGCATTTAATGTCCCAATGTATGTCATCTACCATAGCTACTTTGCATCATATAGAAGTGACATATTGTAAGAATAAGTTTTCAGATCATTTAAGGACAGAGTGATACTTGCTTTTTAAAGTTTGTTTTTGAAAGAATAGAGATTGTATCTCGCCCTGTATAAGAAGTAGTGCACGTGAGTGTATGACATAAAATTGTTGACTGTATGCCTGGTGGAATGGGCGTTCACTCACACACACACACAAACACACCGAATCCTAGTCTTTACAGTGGGGCTTTGTTGACCTTTATCAAAGAAAAAAGCTGAACCTTAACAGAGTTATCAAACTTCTGCCTCCTTAGACCCGTATCCCCCTGTCCAGTTTCCTCCTCCAGTGTACTGTTCTACGCCTTATTAGTTACCGAAGGCTGTCCTATGTTTCATACACTGAATCCCACAGTTCATTTTTCAATTTTTGTCAACTGTGTATAACAAGCTGAGGTGACAAAAACAAAGATACTTCAAATACTGTTGCTGCCTCAAGGAACTTAGTCTAGTGAAGAACAGGAAACTCAATCGTAGATGTTTTAATACAGTAGGGGCTTGTAAGGAAGAGGGATCACTTCATACTGAGAAGTCTGGAAAAAGTTGCTGAGAAAATGATACATAGGCTCATTGGTGGGCTGCAGTACAATGGGGATTTTCTCACACTGCAGAAGGTGCAAAGTACAGAATGTCCAGGCAGTATGGGAAGAGTGTCATATATGATAGGGATAGGGTAAACAGTTTTCATTTGGAAGATAGTAAAAGAAGTTGTAAACTTTTGACCTTTAGTAATATCTGTTATGAAAATAGTTGAGTATTATTTTGATTTAACTACTTTTAGTAATTTAGTAGCCTCTGCTATATGAGAAAAATCCCCAAATCTAGAAAGACAAAAGCAAAACCAATATTTCAGTAATAAGGAAAAAAAACTGATGTGAAGATTTTGTTCTGTTATACAAGAGAGCAATCAGCGCAGGCCCTTTGATTTAGCGTTTATTAAGCCAGTGTCCCCAATGACCCATAGAAAGTTTCGGGACATGGGGACATATTTCTGGTTGCAGAATGATAGTAATAGTTAACAGTAAATTAATAATACAGTCTCCATCTAGTGAGCAGGCACTTGGTTAGACTGTACAAGTTGATAAAGAGATGCAACATCAGCCTCATGCTCTTCCGGGTTAGTGAATGAATCGGTCATAGGTTCACACAAGTTTGAATGTGCAGTTCTTAAACTATTTTGAAAGAAAGCTCTGTTGCCTGTTACTGTTTTTGTAGTGCACTGCACCATAAAAGTTATGCCGTCTACAGAGTATGTGAAACTTTATTTTTCTTTCTTTTTTTCCCAGGTATATCTTTTGTGTGTCTGGGGACTTTGTAAAAGTTTATAGCACAACTACAGAAGAGTGTGTGCACATTCTGCAGGGACACAGAGACCTGGTGACTGGAATCCAGCTCAACCCCAGCAACTATCTGCAGGTACCAAACAGTTTCTAGTTGAATATTTTAACATTGGCCTGGTTGATGAAAGATAAAAGCTGAGTTAAATTTGGCTTAGGAGACTTTACAAATTAGGGTTGGGGAAGGATCAGTTGGTTTTCATATTCAGGGTATTGTTCAGCTCTGTTTAGTTTTGAAAGTAGGATCACAGCCTAGAGTTCCCCTGCCCATAGTGTATTCTGCCAGCCATTTGTTCCCTAGAACGCTTCATAGCTGTTACTGGAGAAGGGTGTTCTTGGCTGTATGAATTTCTGAAATTAAAGCCAGTTAAAATGATTGTGTAATTGCACATCTTCTCAGATCCCCTTATACCATTGACACTGTAAATATGTAAAGGTGCATCTGTTCCGAAAATTTATCTCAATAGTATTGCTCTTGGTACAGGGTTTTTTGGTTTTTATCAAAAATTTCTCAAATGTATTGCAAAAATTAAACCCATACATTATAAAGCAAATGAAGTGCCAAGATCATAAATGCAAAGAAAATGACACCTAGATACATTATACAAACAAAGTCAAATATAAGAAAGGATTTTAAAATAGTTCTCTAGCTACTTTCCTGTCACTGCGACACAATACCCACACCCACAATGTAAAGGAGGAGAAATTTTTTTTGGCTCGGTGGTCAGCTGACTCCGAAGGAGAAACATAATGGCAAAGGTGATTGCTTAGTAAAAGGTTATTCACCCATGGCATCCAGGAAGCAGAGAGAGAAGAGAAAACTGAGACTAGAACACACCCTTCCAAGTCATGCCCCGTAAGACAAAATAGATTTGCCTTGCTGTTCAGTACCTTTTATCACAGAAGCAGCACATAAAGATAACACTGAATTCTTACCAAAATTACATGAGCTGCTTTTAAAAATCAAAATTAAGGAACTTTTTGCAAGGTCCAGGTAGTCTTTTTGTCCTGTCCTGTGAAGCCTTGACAAATTTATTATTATATGTGTCATTTGAACATTTTAATAGCAAAAAAATTCTTTGATTAGAATTGCAAAGTGTGCATTACTGTTTTACACCCAGACAAAAGCTGTATACACATTACATAAAGGTTCTCTGTTTTAGGTGACTGAAAAGTTAGAAAAACTAAAGAAAGACCATTTTGTTGACCTTGTTTTACAAGGTTGACCTTGTAAGACAGATTCTATGGACAAATGAGTCACACAGTACTTGTATATGAGCTATTATTTTGACAGTGACTGTTTGGCTTGTTTATGAATCCATGTTTATGATTCTTACATGTAGTGACTGATGTGCATTTTCCTACTTAATATAATTCTTTTACTTGAATAATTTGTTTAATTCCAACATTTTACTGTGAATTCCTGTGTGTTCACAGAAATCTTAAAATTACCACTTTCCTTTAAAAAAAGACTTAAGGGCCGGGGATTTAGCTCAGCAGTTTGGTGGCCTGCCTCGCAAGCGCAAGGACCCAAGTTTGATCCCCGGTACCAAAAAAAACTTAAAATTGTTTATAAGCCATATAAGTAACAATAAAAAAGAAAATCTAATGTAAACTTAGTAAAACTGAGCCAAAAGTAAACCCCCCAGTGTTACTTAGCCCTCTGGTGCTAACATGTCCCACGACCAGTGTCCTGAACTGACAGGTACCAGCCTCCAATGAGGTGGGCACAGGAACTGAGTGTCCTGGAGCTTTTTATAGTGCCTTGACATGGTTTCTGTTGTGTTTTATGAAAGTACTGGTCCTTGATGGGTTGGATTTTTTGTTTATTATTCTGAACATTCTCTGATCACTTGAGAAGTACTTCTTTAACACTCATGTAAGATCAAAGCAGTGAAGCTAATAAAAAGGGACTCAGCTCTGGGAGAAACAAGCAGATTCCTGAGTGCCTCTCATAGCTCACTTTACTGTGTCCCTCCTGACAGGTTGACTTTCTCCCCTTGGTTTTAGTGAAAACTTGAATTGAGTGGATTTTCTTCCTCCAGAAGGATTACCTTTTGCAGAAACAGTACAAGTTGAGACTGACTTTCAGATTTTTCAGTTTTTTGAATGTTGGAATATTTGCATCACCTTCGTTGGTTGAATATCACTGGATTGAAAACCTGAAATCCAAAATACTCCAAAGTCTGGAACTGTTTGAAAATCTTGGGGTTCAAAAATTTTCAGATTTCAGTTTTTCAGATTAGGAATGTTCAACCTGCATAAAGTCCACCTCTTTAAAGCTAGCCATGAATTAATGAGCAGAAAATGCTTTTTGATCAGCACTTACTCATTTCATACCTTAATGGGTTCTGTTTTTGATCGGTTTTGTACTGTTTTTACCCTTTCAGCTGTATTCTTGTTCCTTGGATGGCACAATTAAATTATGGGACTATCTGGATGGCATTTTGATAAAGGTATGTGGCTTGATCTTAAGTTTCCCTTGTGTAAAAAGCTATGACAACATAATGACACATTGTTTTCTTCAGTCTTTGGTGAGACATCCTGAAAAGTTATAAAATTCACACACCATTAAATTATGTATTTCACTATATAGAAACATTATAAAATGAAAATAAAAGCACTGGGAAGAAATGTTTACCAAAGGTATTATCCTTAATATACAAAAATATTCCTGAAACTAATAAAGAAAAACTGATAGCCCAAAAAATAAATAAATAAATAGGCACTGGGTAGCAATGTATAAAAAAATCACAGAAAAAGAAATACAAATGACCAATAAACTTGAAGAGATGATTAACCTCATTAATAATTTGAACAGTATAAATTTTTCTCTATCACTTTAGCCAAGTTGCACATTGGAAAAATATCTAATGGTAAATGAAGTGTAGAAAAATGGACATTTTTGTACATAATCAGTGAGGGTATAACTGAATGTAAACAAGCTCCCTATTAGAATCGCTCATTTAAATAATGGTGTGTTGGGCCAGGAGTTTAGCTCAGTGGTTCTGCTGCCTGCTTCGCAAGCATGAGATCCCAAGTTCGATCCCCGGTACCAATCAATCAATCAAATAAATAAATAAAGGGTGTGTATATGTAGACCTTAAAACATTGTTTATGACAGAAAACAGTATAAACCTGATGTCACTTAAAATTATGATACATTCCACTCAGTAGAATACTATAAAAGTCAAGTAGAGCTGTATGTACCAAGTTTCAGAGATTATTCAACAAATGTATGTTGATTGTCCCCTGTAGACCGGATACTCTCCTAAGGTTAGGAACACAGCATCAAGCAAAACAGGTAAAAAATCCCTGCCCTGTGGTGTTAATGTTCTACTGAGTGGAAGCAGACAATAATGAACAACATGGTGCTTTGTATCTTTCAGACTTTCCTTGTTGGACATAAACTTCACGCCCTCTTTACTGTCGCCCATGCTGAGGATTCTGTCTTTGTTACAATAAACAAAGAAGAACCAGGTATCGTAGACTCCTTTTATTTTGTTCTTATATGACATGGAATAGCTCTTTACGTTTTACAATTTCTCATAACTTGATATTCTGTTTTAATCTGAAGCTAACAGTTTTTGGAGTTGGAGTTTACATTGCTTTTGTTATCATTACATTTATTTGTAGAGGTTATTTATTCTGAAATGCACAGTGATAGTGATTTATACTCTTATACTAATAGACATCAGAGCTCACATTTCGAGGGGTGGTTGGTTTTTTGAGACAGGGTCTCACTGTGTAGTTGAGACTGACCTGGGATTCACTTTGTAGTCCAGTCTGGTCTCAATCTCACAGTGATCCTCCTGCCTCAGCCTCCCGAGTGCTGGGATTACAGGCGTGCGCCACCATGCCTGGCCAGAGCTCACATTTTAAAGCCACATTGTAAAGGGCTCAAATTTGTCTTTCTACTGAACTTTAAGTGTGTCATGCTTAAGCATCACTGTCTTTTTACTGTTATTATACGCCGGTTTGTTGATAGTAAGTCATTATAAGAAATGTTACAGAAAATTGATTGATATTACAAATCGGTAGTGTAACTGAGTTACTTTATTTTTAATATTATTGAAATACTGTTCTATTGAAACTGCCACGTGTCAACATTTCAGGGATTCCTGGAATATTGTCAGTGGTTATAAATAAGTATCTTTAATCAAAGAATTTGGTACAATAGAATACTGACATGAAACATACAGCCAAAGAAAATTTCCAAACCCAGAATGCCACTGTGCCCTTGGCACCCTCCATAAAATACAGTTGAGTTCAGAGTTAAAGTGCAAGACAGCCGGGCGTGGTGGCACACGCCTGTACTCCCAGCACTCGGGAGGCTGAGGCAGGAGGATCGCTGTGAGTTCAAGACCAGCCTGAGCTACACAGTGAGTTCCAGGTCAGTCTCCACTACACAGTGAGACCCTATCTCAAAAAAACAAAGTGCAAGACAGCTTTTAAATGGATACTGTGCGATCAGCTCACCCTGTTGGTAGTCTGTTAACTTAGTGAATCCTACAATATTTTTACTTATTTTGGAGGTTTTTGCTGAAATATTTATAAGTTATATATATATCAAGGACTTTTAAATAATCATGAATTGTCCAAACTAAAAATAATCTATTTTTTTATTTAAAAGTCATTGATTGCCAAGTCTGGTAATGAGTGATAGTGTATCTGTTCAGAATGTGTGAAAGAATAAGAAACAGTAAATTTAGGTTTCTTAAATGGCTCATAAGCTACCTCTGAAGGACATTAAAAGAATGTCCTGCAAATAGTAATATCTTTTAAACAATTACATGACCTTCCAGGTGAGTATTTTTAAAGATACCATCCTTTTCCAGCTTAATTTATTTTGTACATAGTAAATATGTGCATTCTAAATACCAGTCCGCATAGTTGCTAAAAACTCAGATTTGCAATCTCACAGGTAACTGACTGACTAGGTGTGGGATACAGTTTAGGAATCTGTTATAATACCTTCCCAGCTGATGCTCATCATCAGGGTTTGGTGACCACGCTGGAATCACCTCATGGCTCTGTTGAAAGGTAGTTAGTTGCTAACACTGTAGCAGCATTTGTCATCCATACCTGTGAGACCAGCGATTCTTAACTGCAGCTCGGCATAAGGAGCACCAAAGGGACCTAGATGATGAGACTCTATGATGGGCCCTGATTGCTTACTTGAAAACTCCCCAGCTGGGCCCGGTTGCAAGCAGAGTAAAAGCTACTGATCAAAGTAAAGATCTTGGTCATAGTCTAACCTGGACCCACAGCCAGATGTCATGTTACTCTTCAGTACCTGGCACCTTGTGGGCACCCAGCATGTGAAAGTCTGGCTGTTGAGGTACAAAAATGCACACAGGGCTTGAGAATCTCTTGTGCCAGCTGCCAGCTTACAGCACCACTGTCCATCTTCACTCATTGTCATTTGTGCTCCACTGCTGCGGAGTCCCTGGCAGAAAATTGTATATCCAAAAAGTATTACTGTGGTTTAAGAACAAGTGAATCTTTTGTTTACATGCTATCTTTTATGGCTTCTTGACTGTATAATAATAATCATTCAGTAGCTAATTGAACACCTCATAACTAAGATTTCAGTGCACAGAACATGAGTGACCCTAAATCCCAACAGTAAGCTGACCTCATCCTTAGCAAACAATAAGATAAAAACTGTGGAGAACAGTAGGTTGGGAGGGGAATGGGAAGTGTGGGAGAAATACTTATTAAATAAGTGGTCAGGGAGGCCCCTGGAGAGAGAAGAGTAAACTGTGTAGCTAGAGCGTTCGTGACATATTCACAGAATAGCAGGAAAGCTCGTCTAGGATGAGCAAAGTAAGAATGGATTATTTATTCCCTTGTAGGTTAGGTAAAAGAGTAACTTTTACTCTTGAGTAAAAAATAAAGTCTTAGGGAGAAATTTTTGGGGGTGGGAGGTATTGAACTCAGGCCCTTGTGCTTGCAAAGCAGGTGCCAGAACCACTGAGCTAAATCCCCGACAAGAAATTTTTTTAAAGGATGATAAAGAGAAGAATGCATCAGTATCACAGGAAAAGAGATTTACCCTGTGAGTGTTGCACCGAGCCCATGCATTTCTGAAAACTCGGGTGGCTCGTTGCATTGGCTGCTCAGTTCAGTGTTCAGTATTCATAGTTTGTGTCCATGTTAAACCTCAGCTTATTTCTGTTTCTGTGGGGCTTCTACTCAGGTATAAGAGTAGATTTAGACTTCCATTTAAAACTTGTATATTCACAGTCCAGCTGTAAGGTACATCTTGTTTAGTAGCCCAGGGTTACAATTCTGACATTCTAGAGTACTGATTTTAAAAGTTCTGTATGATAAATGCCTGTGTCCACTTTCTTTAGAAAAGCTTTATAATAATATGGCTTCCTTTGGCCAGATATATTTCAGCTGGTTTTGGTGAAACTACCAAAATTCCCAAGCCAGGAAATAGAAGCTAAGGAACTGTCTTTTGTTTTGGATTACATAAACCAGTCTCCCAAGTGCATTGCCTTTGGACGTGAGGTAAATTTGCTTTGTTGGTTTTCTATCTTATACAAAAAACCTCTTTGCTCCAGTCTCTCCTGTGACAACTGTATGGTATAATGGCTTTATATCGCATTATTTATTGACTTAGTATAGTTTGCTAGCAAGTAAGAAGCCTGTTGTCATTGCTGTAGTAACTATTTATGGTACAGGTTTTTGTAGGGCCATCGTTATTTTGTGTGTTCTGTCCTGTTGGCTTTGTAAACCCAGTTTTCCAAAAAATAACCATTTTTGGTGATTGTGCTTCATGTCTTTGTCCCATATAAAAGCTGCTCAGATGGTTTCATTTTAGACTGTAAACCATTAGAAAATACAGCTTCTCTATCCTTAATATGCCCATTATAAAAATTTGGATATTACAGAAAAATATAGTGAGGAAATAAAATCTACAATATTTCTAGACTTTAATATATATCAAGTAACTTCCCAAAAGGGACTAGTATCAAAACTCTTACGATCCTTTTTTTTCCCATTTAACACTGCAGTTTGAATGTGTACTAAAATGATTGCCAGAGATGTTTTGTGTTCATACCGTGATTTATAGACCCATCCTCTGCTAGTTCTTTATTATTTGAAATTAAATACCATCCAAAGAACCTCAAGTCATTGGAGTAGCATGTTTCTTTAGCCTTAAGTTTTGTAGCATTATTTGTCATTCTTCTGGAAAATTTTCAGGGTATTAACACTGTTGATATCTTTACTCTTCAGTGTCATTAGTCATTGAATTAAAACCACAGCAAGATACCACTTCACATCCACTAGAACTGCTAATTGTGGGGTGAAGTTAAAAAGCTGTTCGCCACTATTCCACTCTCAGGTAGAAAAAGAAGACACGACCACAAAATGAGGTGCACAGGAATGATTACTATTCCAAATAGCTCCAAACACAGATGACCCAAATACTCATCAACCAGCAAATAAATCAGTGGTGGTGTGTGTTTGCTCAGTGGAATGTGGATGGTGCTCGGTAATGAAAAGGAATTGATGATGCCCACAGAAGTGGATGAACCTTAGAAAGATGGTGTTGAGCAAGAGTCCAAACACAGATAGGCAGGAAATGATCTAAGGTGACCGAGATGAATGGCGGCTGGTGATGGGGGACGTAGAGGGACAGCAGAAGAAGCACAAAGCAACATCCCTGAGGCACAGGAAGAAATGTTCTAGACCCTGGATCTTGTCTGCAGTAGAGTTTATATGACATACACACGGGTCACACACTGCATTTTATTTTGTAAACTATGCCTTAATGGAAAACGTAAATCATACTTAAAGGTAGAGTCTGGTTTTAGGATTTAGGACTTAGCCTCATCTTTTTTTAAAAGCTGTAGCCAAACTATGCTATGTCATTTTATATTAATGTACTCCTAAAGAGAGCTATTTTGTTACCCTCTTTTTGAAACACCAGGGAGAATATGTTGCTGCAGTACGGGACTTTTACTTGTCTGTTTATTTTTTCAAAAAGAAAACAACATCTAGGTAAGAATGCCTTTTGATTAACTTTGTTTTATTTATTCAAGAGGTTATTGCAGTTTTATTTCATCCACATCACCCTGTGGTCTGAAGATGTTTTGAGTTTCTTGTTACTTGACTGTGAGACCATAGGTAGAGAGGTATAGTTTTTTTACCCACAGTGGGGTGCAGTTGAGGGAAAAACCCAGGAAGGGTTTCCAGCCCAAAGCCCAAACCCTTAAATTCTAGTCTGTATAGTTGATGTCAAAATTAGATGTAGATTGAAAAGACTTCAGCAAATAAATGTTTCTCATTCCTATTTATGGATATAGGAATGAATATAAGCACTGGGCTATCTGGGTTTAAAATGGATGGTATGTAGTCCATTTGAACCTCTATGTACTTCAAATTAATAAATATTTAAAGCGGAGGTAATATCTATGTAATAAGAGTTGTGAAGATGAATAAGAGAACATGCTTAGAGAGACTGGTGCTAACTATGGAGTAGTGAATTGCTTTTTGACACCATCCCCTCTTCCCATTTGCCCTGCTATGGTTAACATTTGTTTTCTATGCAATATAATAAGGAGTCTGATTTCTTCAAAGCCCAAAGATTGGCAAATACTCAGCCTAAGAACAGGAAATAGTCTGGATATTATAGCAAGTAGATTTATCCCTTTGAATTTATTCCAGTAGACATAATTAGCTAGTTGTCTCAGATACAGTTTATCAGACTTATCCATACCTCATATAGAAACAGGTTCAGTGAACAAATGTGAACAGGCTGTACCCAGGCCAAAACCCTATGAGAACTGTGTTCGCTTCTTAAAATAGATTGTTTTCCATAGCAAGTTGGTATGGTGGGATATCAGTCACATCAAGTTTATATTGTGTACTAATATATGTTTGCAAAAAAATGCTTAATTCTTCATCAAAAATTATTGAAAATTCTACATTTATATGTATTGACTTTTGAGAACTCTGCAATCATGATTGATAAGGCTTGGGGACTCCCTTTTACTTAACTATATCTATACTTCCTAAGAGACTTTAATAATCTAGGGAATTTTTTTCCCTCCTAGGTATACTTTATCATCATCAAAAAATAAGAAACATGCCAAGAACAGTTTTACATGTGTAGCCTGCCACCCAAAGGAAGACTGCATAGCATCTGGTCACATGGATGGCAAAATCCGTCTTTGGTCAGTGCAATGTCCCTTGATACTGTTTTATATTAGTCCTGTAGAACGGGCCAGCTTTGGGTCTGGGAAGAAGGTCCATGCAAGGAATAGAAACCCAGTGCTGGAAATAGGGAGTGGGCTTTGCTGAGCTCCTTTCTTTCACTCTTGTGCTCTTCATTTCGTACTGTTTTAGGGTTCTCGGCCTTAGACTTGTAAGGAGGATGGAAAAGTCCATGCTGCCTATAACCATTTCACAAAAGAGAACTTTCTGCCAGCCTTTACCCAAAAGGAAGAATGAAGAACTGAATATCTAGTAGGCTACCATAGGTGACATACTGTTCGCAGAAGTGGCTGTGATTAGAAATTCAAATGTACTTTTTGCACATGACCAGAAAACTTGATATTTGGATTACATTTGGCAAGGCTTTACTTAAATTAAGACTTTGGTTTTCTACAATAGGAGGAATTTTGATGATGACAAGAAATACACTTATACATGTTTACATTGGCACCATGATTTGGTTATGGATTTGGCTTTTTCAGTGACGGGTAAGTGCAGGTTTAATTATCAAAATTGAATTTTAAAGTATGTGAGTCACATGTTTTAATTCACTGTATTTCTAGTTTGAGAGATTTAAAATTGCAAGGCCAAATGAGTCACAGGCACTTGTGACCCCAGAGTTTTGGACTTTGCTTAGCACAGTACTGTGTATGTCGTGATTTTCAGAGCTCTTTAGAGCTCCAAAGTAGACGTTTGTCATAAAGTCTTAACATAATGAACTTATTTAAGCTACACTCCATTGGTCTAAATATGTCTCCATAGCAGCCCATCACTGTAGCTGTACTTTACCAGGTGCACATAGCTATTAATCAGATTTAATCTTGGACCCTGTAAAATGGGTTTCAGTAGTCTTCTTCCTACAGATGAAGGAAAGGAGGCTTGGAGTTGATGACTGACTAGCATCAGGTCCCATGGTTAATAAGTGGGATATAAGTCTGTGTCTGGATTAAAAACTTTGTGTTTTTTAACTGACAAATGCCTCATTTAATAGTCACTATTTTAAATTAATTCAGATCTGTGCTCTGTTTAAATTGCCAAAGAATGTAGCTGTAGTGAGTAAAAAATGCCTCCTTAAAATCCTGCTGACAGCAAAAGTGTGGAAAAGTACATTTTGTCTTTGATTTCCCACCCATGCATGTGGCAGAAGTTATACCATATATTGTCCCTGAAACTGAGAAGACATGAAAGGACTTCCTTTTCAGGTCTTCTTGGAGTTTGGCACCTGTACCAGGTGCTGCCTGGATCCTTAGGTTTACTTGGGTTTAACTCATTGGAGCCCCAGGAAACAGAAGGCATCTTCCACCTACTTCAGCTTTGGATTTGGGGAGCAGTGGCTGGGCCTGCAGGAGAAGCCCAGCCTCACACCGAGTAGAGAGGCAGGAATGTTGTTCTGACCAGTGGGGACTGAGGCTAGAAAGAGACTAGAGAGGAATTAACCCTGCAGACAAAAAACTGTCTTCCCATTTATCTTCTCCATCCTCCTGAACACCAGTGAGGCGTGTTGGTGTGTGTGCTGCATATGTGTCCACATGCTCTGGACAGTGCCTTTCTCCCCTCCTAACCCTGGCAAGTTTCTACTTCGGTTCCTTTCTCTTCTGTGGCCTCTCCCCAAATCCAAGCAAGGACCAGTTGTAAACTTAGAAACGTACAATCTGAACTTCTCCTGACAAGGATCCTATCTTGACAACTTGTCTGTGAAACCCACTAACATTTAAGTAATGAAAGGCAGTCCTTTTGGTGGCTTACTTCTTTGGCCTGGAAACAGCTTATCCAGATTTTTGATTGAACCTGAGGATTAGGTATGGACCCACCTATTCAGTGATATCCTCTTTGATAAACTTCCTTCCTTCCATTGGGTCTGTACTCAATCATTAGGGGGACTACCGAGTCACATAGTAGTCTTTTTTTTTTTTTTTTTTTTTTTTTTTTTTTTAATAGTAGTCTGTTTTTAACTTTGGTGAAACTCTGCACTGTTTTCTTAATGGCTATATTAAAAGCTTCCTGCTAGCCCGCAGGATATAGTCCTCACCTCACCAGCATTTGTTTTCTTTTGTCTTTGGTAATTGTCATTCTGACTAAAGTGAGGTATTTCAGAGTTGCACTCCCTGATCATTAGTGATACTGAGCATTTTTTCGTATATTTATTGACCATTCTTCTAAGAAACAGCTACTCAGGTCAGGTCTTTTGCCCATTTTTTAATCATTATTTGTGGTCTTGCTATTGAGTTGTTCCTTACATATTCTAGATACTGATTCTACCACGTGTATATGAAGTATAATAAAAAATGTGAATGTTAGATATATTTTTAAATTTATTATAGTAAGAAACATTCCCATTAATCCCCCTCATATTGAACATGTCCAAGCCATTGTTCTTGCCAATTTCTGAAGAAGCTTTGGAAATCCTGCTTAATGTTTTTAGTTGTACTGTCATGGCTGCTTTGCTGTCCTTAATTGATTGAAAACATGTACAGCAGTTTCTGTCAAATAAAAATATTAAAATGAATCTTCATCCACCTTATGCACTGCATCTGGCACTGTGTGACATCTGGCTTTTCCGTGGAGTCAAAATGGCCATGAAAACTGCATGATGGGATGGATGGATGTGTGTTCGAAATGAGGGGAGGATTTTGAAGGGGATTAATAGCAGTATGTTTTTTACTGTAGTAAATTATTTTTATTTTAAAATTCGCTGTGCTTTGTGACCACACCTCATAGTTTACAGATGTTTTCTCTGTAGGTTGTTGCTTTTTTTCTGTGGACTGTTTCTTCTGTCACACAGTAGGGTCACTGTGGCTGGTAATGATACACTGCATATTAAGATTTTGAATATTTCACCACAGAGAAAAGTTCTTGAGATGATAGGTATGCTAATTACTTTAATTTGATCATTACACAATGTATGTGTATGGAAATTCTGCCTTGTACCCTATGAATTTGTACAGTTAGTGTCAATTTAAAATAAATTAAGCCAGGTGTGGTAGCACACACATGCAAACCCAGCCCTTAGGAGGCTGAGGCAGGAATTTGAGGCCAGCCTGGACTATATCGTGAAAACTTGTCTCAGAAAGACCAAAATATAAAAGAAAAATGACTAGAAATAATGGTAATAAGTAAGACCTCCATTTAAAAAAAATAGACATGTTGTATTTCTGAAGTGTTTATTTCTCCAGTGATAGTCAGAATCCAAGTGTGAATTGTTTTTTGTTTGTTTGTTTGTTTCTGTTCACATGGGGCGAAGGCGCCAGCCTGCTGAGCGGCGGGCGGGAGTGTGTGCTCGTGGAGTGGCGCGACGCGGCGGAGAAGAACAAGGAGTTCCTGCCGCGACTGGGAGCCTCTGTGGAGCACATCTCAGTATCTCCCGCCGGAGACTTGTTCTGCACCTCTCACTCTGATAACAGTAAGTCCAAATTATTTGTCGTGAGGAAATGGCATTTGTAGGATGCCGTGAATCAGCTTGCTTCTGTAGGAGTGGAAAATAGAGACTTGGAACTAATTAAAAGTAGTGCGAGATTTATGAGCATTTTTCCTTCTGTTTCTCCTCTTTTCTCCACATCTCTCTACCCCAAAATGGCAGCTGAAACCCAACGTTTTCAAAATTGCTTTGAAAATGAAGGGCTCCCGTGTTCGTCCATTGCTGTGCCATTTATATTTTCAGAATGGTTTGAAGTGGGATGGTGGGGAGGTACAGGCAGGGCTTTGAAGTGGTTATTGGTATCATGAACAGAAGAGCTCACAGAAAGGTACTGTGAGATTCTCTGGATACAGCTATTCCAACTCCCTGTGCGAGTTTTGTGGATTCCGATAGAAATAGAGACATTCTTGGGTCCCCCAGAACTTTGCTTTTCCTGTTATGGGAGCCCCAAGTCCACTGGAAACCTAGTAGCTTTCTGCTTCCTTTCCCTTCAGAACAGGCCCTCTGTAAGCAGCCATTGTGGCATGACGACTTCACAGTTAAACTGTCTTTTATAAATACTACTGATATCCAATGTCTCAGCACTAATGTATAAATCATATCCATAAATAACAATTTAGAATTTAAAGATTCTAACAGTAAAGCTCCCATGTGTACTCCTAATTTTTTAGCTAAATTACAAAACGTAGGTCCTGATTTTCCAATTAACACTTGTCAAGTTCTTTCTTATATTGGCATATTTCAGGATAAAATAAATTCACCCGGAAATGAATTCACCTTGAAGTTTTGACCTGCTAATGTTTAAATACTTTTTTTTTTAACCCACAGAGATAATGGTTATTCACCGAAACCTTGACACATCGGCAGTAATTCAAGGTCTCGTTAAAGGTATTACAGAGTCTAGTTGGTTTGGAATTCATTATTAGAATTACATTATCAAAGTGTTTCTCCAACTTCAACTATTGTTTGTCACTTCATTTACAGATAGAAGTATCTTGACTGGTTTGATGATCGATCCAAAAACAAAAGCTTTAGTTTTAAATGGAAAACCTGGTCACCTGCAGTTTTATTCTCTCCAGAGTGATAAGCAATTATACAATGTAAGATTCTGAGCCCTTAACCAGCCTTAAACCTAACACAAGTTCTCTACAGCCCCACTGAGGTCGCGTAATTGGTAGCTGCTAACACATGGTCATCTGCCTGTTCACTTGAGCATAGTGTTATCTGTGTTACTTAGTTTATTACTGAGAGAGTAAATCAGAGGATGCTGTTGCAACAACATGGAAGCCAAGTGCTCTTACACTTGCTCTACTCTGTTTGTTTCAGGAAACAGCCCACCAGCTGTCTCCTACATTGATACTTTTGGGTGTTAAGGATAAGGACTTGTGGGTTAACCATACAAGTCTGTGTCTGCCATGCAGTGAGACAGCCGTGTGCACAGACCAAAGGCAAACCGCAGTGTAGATTGAAGAGGAGGAATTCTTACAATCCTGATGAATTCCACCCTGCCTTTTCCTTGTGCCTCATAGTGCCCTTGACAGATCTGTGTCATAGTAACCGTGACACTTTATCTCTTTCTTTGTGCTTAAAACCCCTCAAGAAAGCCTGCTAGCACCCCACACGTAGTACAGTGCCCACATATTTCTTGGTGCATGTGATACGAGTCGAGCATCCCTAATCTGAAAATCGGAAATTCAGAATGCTCTATAATCTGAAACTTGGTGAGCACCGATGTGACACAGAAGGAAACTCCACACTTCACTTCCTGTGAAGGGTTACATCACAGTGCAGGTGTGCTCCAAGTATTGTGTAAAATTCCCTCAGCTCTGTGTATAAGGTGCATGTGAAACAGGTGGATTTCGTGTTTAAATGTGGGTTTGATCCCCCAGGGTGCATCATATGATCAGATCCCAAGCTGCAGTAAGACCTGAAATCCTGAAGCTCGTCTGATCCCAAGCATTCCATAGCCACTTTATGAACTTAGTACATACACAAAGAAAAAAGATCTTTAAAATAATCATAAATAAAACACTAGCCTACATAGGCCATTGCCTTTTTCCCCCTTAAAGGTTTTAAGTTTATTTCTGCTCTTGTTTCTACTAACAGAATTTAGCCTTGAGATTTTACATAAAGTTATTGTTTCTTTAGAGAAAACAGGATTATAGGTGAAAGGTGCTATTGACTCATACAGTGGGTCTTAGTCATCACTAATATATTAAGGCCATTGTAGAATAGTGGCTGCCAAACTGATACTGTACAATGTGTCTCCCTTTTAATGGCAAATTGGATATCTTTAGTAATAATTTGTTTGTTTTTCCTATTTAAAAATCTGTTACTTTTAGATTCTGAAAGTTGTCTTGGATGTATCAGTTACACCTTGAATGCTTTAACATTGTACTTCATTAATAAGCATTTTGATTTTTTTTAACACATAGTTAGATATTGTTCAGCAAGAATATATCAATGATTCCGACTTGATCCAAATTGAGCTAACAAAGGCTGCATTTGGCTGTTTTGGGAACTGGCTGGCAACAGTGGAGCAACGGGAAGAAAAGGAAACTGAGCTTGAATTGCAAATGAAACTGTGGAAGTACAATAAGAAAACACAAGGGTAATGTTACCTGGATAGCCACTTTGAATTTCAGATGATAAATTGTTTGGATTCTTGTTTTATGACTGTAGTTGTCTTTAAGATGTTTTAGACTTAAAGAAACGGGGAAGATACTATTTTTCTAACGGAGTCCTTCATTAAGCTTTCCATATTGAGAAACCATTGAGGTCTTCTGAGTCATAGATGCAGAAACATGAAAATAACACTCCCGAGGACACAATCCCCAACTCTAGGCAAATCCAGAATTAGAACCCAGATGTTCCCTGGCTCTTCCATTAACATCACGCTGCCTTCCTTGGAAAAGTGGGAATGTTGATGTGGAGTAGCTTGTGCATCGTGATTAGCTAGCTAGAAACCCAGTGGTTTCCCATGGCTTCAATAACCACTTCTCAGCTCTTTGCTGAGTGCCAAAAACTAGGCCTAGTGCTTTCGTGCTTGTTACTTTTCAGAAGAACATTGTAAGATAAGCCTGTGGTCTGCATGTTAAATTATGATGCTCAGCGATCCTGGTAGTCTTAAGAGCTCATTGGCAGTGTGTATTTCATTTATAGCTGCCCTCAATCTGGGAGCAAACTTGAGGAGGTTGAGGTGACTGAAAATAGTAGAGTAACCAAGGCAATTGGATATTTTCATACCATATTTTCTTGCTAAGAGTAGTAACTTTCCTTTTTTTTTTTTCGTCAAAAGTAGACAGACATCTGGGTTCTATGTAATTTTCCTGCAGAGTTTGATACAGTAGGCTTTTGAAAATGTTTAAGGGCCCCTATTTTATATTCATTTTGGACCAGTACAATTGCCACTATAAATACATCACATGAATCACAGGTGATGTGTTAGAACTCTTTCCATCCTGTGACCATTAGAGGGAGAGCACTCAATCATTTGTAATTCTAGGATCTATCAGTTGCCCGTCTTTAAAGATCCTGTTGTCAAATGTAGAATATGTAACCAAGTCTTAGACCAGTATGACGGCAAATCATATTATTCTGATGTAAGAATAATGTGTGGTTTCCTTCTCCTAGGTTTGTCCTTAACACAAAGATTAGCATGCCACATGACGACCACATCACAGCTCTCTGTTTCTGTAATGCAGAAAGATCTGAAACCCCCACCTTGGTTACAGCTAGCAAAGATGGTCACTTCAAAGTGTGGATATTAACAGATGATTCTGATATATACAGTAAGTGTTTTAAATAGGTTGTGTCAAAATAGTGCATTGTTTTAAGACTTGATATATAGTTAGCTCATGACTTGTAGCCATTTGGAAAGGACATTTTATGCCTTGTTAAATTCTATGAGAAATTGCTTAATTTCAATAGATTTAAAAGATTGCATTCTTTCATGCCTTTTTTTCCAAAATCTGTACTTTTTAATTGGTATTCTTGATTAATACTAATTTGGAGGAGAGTATGGGGAAATGGCTTCTGCCTTTAGTTCTTTCTGTGCTCCACAAGGGGGCGATCACGGCCTCCAGGAAGAGCCTCCATTTCCAGTCAGTCAATACTTTGCAGCATTTCTAGCTTAGAGAAGTTGTGCTGAACAGGTTGTTTTTGTTTCTTAACCGCTAGAGTTCGTTAATGTCCCTGTAATATTATCTAATACTTACGCCACCTTTTAACATACGGCTTATATATCCACAGAAAACGCTGTTGGCTGGACCTGTGACTTTGTTGGTAGCTATCACAAGTACCAGGCGACTGGCTGTTGTTTCTCTGAAGATGGCTCTTTACTAGCAGTTAGTTTTGAGGAAATAGTTACCATATGGGATTCAGAAACCTGGGAACTTAAGTGTACATTTTGCCAAAGAGCTGGGAAAATAAGGTCAGTGAATTACTTAGTTACTGTGAATTGTTTTCTAATTTATTAAATAAGATGTTAAACTTCAGTGATAACATGCTTTCCCCAAAGGTAGCCTGTTGGTAAGGGGAGGAAGTGCTGATGAAATGCTAGAGAGCTAAGAAATTCTGAGTACATGAACTGTGATGACATTTCCTGAGTCAGGATTAACACGTACTTCTTGGTATTCAGTTTTTGTTTTTTTTTTTGTTTTGTTTTGTTTTGTTTTGTTTTTGCAATGAACACTTTCAAACATGTGCTGTGTAATAATGGACACTGGACATAAGCCTCAGTAGATCCAAACTGCTTATCCTCTGTGTAAAATGTTGTTCCCAAATGTTATTATTTTCTAAGAAGGCGGGGGAGAGAATAACAATATCTCCCAGTACACTTCAGGTAACTGGGCATAGGGACAGAATGGCAGATGGTTAATAAAATTTATCACTAGGGCTAGGGATGTAGCTCTGGTAGAGCGCTTGCCTGGCAGGCATGAAGCCCTGGGTTCAGTCTCCAGCACAACAAAAAGCAAAAGAAGAAAGAAAATTATCTCTTAATTCCCAGCATGTCTGATTCTAAGTTTACTTTACAAAACTTTCTTCAAAATTCAGATGGCAAGCTTTTGTCTTCTAGGTAGAATATAAAATACAGTTTTTGTTAAGTCACTTTGTCATTTTATGTACATTATCTATTATGTGTTGATTGTTACCCTGCGTGGCATATTAGAGAACTAATCATCTAATCTGTTTTTCTAAAGGAAAAAATCCTTACATAGACCTGCCTTTTATATTCCTTGGTACAGGTATAAACCAAATGATAAATGTCTTTTTGCCCAAGACTAAGTTAGTGCGTGGAAGCTGCAGTGCCTTGGAACTTAATTATGCTAGCACTGATTGTTGCTGACTTCCTTCTGGTTTTAACCTAGGCATCTTTGCTTCGGGAGATTAACGTGCTCCAAGTATCTTCTGGGTGATACTGAAAATGGCATTCTCTGCTGCTGGAATCTGCTCAGTTGTGCATGTAAGATACTTTTTATGCTCCAGTGATTTGGCAAAGCACATAGAGGAAGTTGCCATGAAATGTTGACATTTTAAGAACTGGAGGTCTATCATTACTTCATGAAGCTATCTAGACAATACAGGATTCTTCATATCACATACCACCAAAATTTGAAGTGGTAGCTTGTGATCAAGCAGTTATAAACCACCTAATTATTAGTGAATCAGCTTCCGTTACATCTTTGTTTTTTCCCCACTGTCTTCATGGTGAATGACTTTCTGTTGCCTTCCCCTTTTTTTTATCTCCTTACCAGTGTGAGAACTGTTTCTGCTAATGTGTAAACATGTTAACTCAGGCAGTATAAACTTGAGTGAAGTTAGCCACAGTCCCTCCTAACCTTTGTGGATTCAGTGACATTGTACTCATTGGAGGGATAAAAGGTCTGGTGGTTGCTTAGTAACAGATATGTGTTGTATTCTCTGTGGTGACTGTGGTTGACATCCCACCCACACTTAGTGACAGCAGTAAAGCACTTGAACAGTAACATGTTCACAGTTTGTACAAGTGCTGAAGGTCTCTTGTTTTTCTGTTTCCTATTTTTCCGTGCTCCTCCAGATTATTTCAGTGTGACTCCATTGTTAGTTGGAAACATAGAATCCTCCCTAAGAATAATAGAATTGGTTGTCCCAAAAAGGATGAAAGATCCTCATCCTAAAAAACAAGCTTATAAGAGCTTCTGGCAGGCCCCTCTGAAGCGAATCACCTTTTCTCCCCCACAGTGGAATGGAGTGCGAAGTTAAATGTTAGAGTTATGGAACCTGATCCACATTCAGAGAATGTCGCTGCTGTCTCTTGGTCTTCAGGGGGTTCAGACTGTAAGTACGAACCATAGTTTGAAAGTTGAAGGAAATCTGATAGCCTGTGTTCTTTTTAATGTCTTTAATATAATTGAGTCAAACTTGCTTTCAACTCTGCTTTCCATTTGAAGCCATCTGCCTGAGGCCGTCCCCTTCCTTTCTGTCCCCATGCCTTGTAATGTGTGCATCCTCGCCCAGTTCCAGGTGAGCTCTAGGGCGTCCCTTATTTTTCCACAGGCCAACACCTACTTGGTGTGAAAATTCCCGTAGAGATCTCAACCCTATGATACATTCCCAAATCCCCTAAGAAGCCTTAATTGGTCTTCCTCTGTACTTATGGAACGATTTGTACGTAACTCTTTCTGGTACTTGAGATAAAATAATTCAGTAAGGTTTTGCTGGCTGTCTTCTGTACAAGCGCCTGGTGTCTGGAGCAGGGCCCTTTCCTTTTTCAAGCTCAGTCCTCATTGCCAGCCTGCTTGGCTCAGTAGATGGTATCGTGGGCTGAGCCATTTCCTCTAGGGGGTGAGACCCAGGATTTGTCACTCTGGGGTTAGAACAGGCAAAATGTCACTGTCTGTCTGTTTTTCCTTCCAGTGTTTGTATTTAAACCTAGTGAGCCAAGACCATTGTATATTCAGAAGAATATCACCAGAGAAGAAGTCCAGTGGGGAGTGTTTGTTCCCCGAGATGTCCCTGACTCATTCACCTCAGAAGCTTACCAGTGGCTAAATAGATCCCAGTTTTACTTCCTAACAAAATCACAGGTAACTGCCACCCTCAAGAGGAGACCACTTGGTACATGGACCTGAAAGAGTAATGTAGCCCACGACCAGTGGTATGAATTTATTTCTCGGTGAAGTAGTTTCAGTTAAAGAGCATTGAGTCCATTAACTCTGAGATAAGAAAGCAGAGGCAACAAAAATACTTTAAGCTGTATTTATTAGCATGGTTCCTTTTGCTGTTGTTTTGGTATTAAATTTGCCATTATAAAAAATGATGGCTTGAGTTTGGGCTATGGGTTGAATTTTATCACTCACAGAGGTTATCAAACACACTGCAGATGTGTATCAGAATACAATTTATCTTTTGCCTCACTGAGTGATCTCTCTTTTCAGAGCTTATTGACCTTCAGTACAAAGTCTGCAGAAGAGAAGCTCACACCAACTAGCAAACAGGTGCGTTCCCGCCACTCAGGGCTGGCCGCGTTGTCTCCTGCACAGGAACAAAGCTGGGAGAAACACGTCACTGCTGGCCCAAGATGAACTTTCCAGACGTGCACCGAGAAACTCTTTTGAAGTCATAGTGATCTTTTAAGTTGGTTTAATGTACATCGTCAGTAATGTGTGATCATGATTTAAAGTCACAGCTGGCCTTTTATATCCATGAATTGAAATAGTCAACCGCTCATGGATTGAAAATACCCAGGAAAAAGTCATGCCGAAGTATAAGATGGGCATGAGTGATGTTGAAGTGCTGTGCAATTTGATAAAAAGGCTCAAGCACCCTCAAATTTTGATATCACAAAGGGTTCTGGAGCCACGTCACGTCTGCACTGAGGGGCAGCTGCAGTACTGCGGGCTTACACTGATGCCATGACCCACAATGACCGTCTCTCTCACCTGTTAGTTGGAGTTTTTAATTGAACGTCATATCTATAAAAAAACCTACCTGTGTTAATTGAGAAGTTCAGATTTAGGTATCATCTGTTAACACCTATCAACTGAAGCTGTCAAAGCATAAGTCTAGGGCCGGGGATTTAGCTCAGCGGTTTGGTGACCTGCCTTGCAAGTGCAAGGACCCGAGTTCAATCCCTGGTACCCAAAAAAAAAGCATAAGCCTTGACATTTTCGCAGGACCACTGTTCACATACACAAGGCCCACACTTCCCCTCCAGTTCCCTCATTTTCCCGAGAGAGATAAGTCTTAAATTGATCAAGTCGGTGTTCATTGTCCTAACCAAGTTAATGCACAGCCAAGCTCTGTTGTCAGGCAAATTGCTTTTCCTCTCGTGACCAACTGTTTTCTCTGGAGATAACAATTGCCTTTTTTCATTTACTCCTTACCTAATTCAACCCCAGACTGACTTCAAGTTAGATAGGTTCTGTAAATCTTTCGGACCCTTAGGTGTCCCTCCAAGTCATGAAGAAGTATTTCAAAGGCCTCACAGTACTCTTCAAGGACCCAGTCACTGCCCTGCTGGGGGTCGCTTCACCTCTACAGAGTGCTCCTTTTTCTTTGGTTACTTCCTTTTTAGCGAACCACATTCCATTAGTGCCTGCAAGGTAGACACTGGGTATCACATGTTTGGAAATGTTTTTATTTTCTCCTCCTGGATTGATTGATCGAGCACAGAGTTGTAAGTTAAAAGGCATTTTCTCTCAGCACTTTAAGGGTATTCTGTTATTTTACAGCCTCTTTTGTTACTAAAAGTCTATACCATTCTTGTTTTTTGATCCTTTATCCTTATTTTCCTCCTACAACTCAATGGGTTTGCTCACCTACTGTAAGTCAGGAACTATTCTAGACATTTGGGATACATTAATGAGCAAACAGTCAAGTCTCTGGACTGGAGGTGTTTATAGTCTACAGGAAGATGCAGGCCCTAAACAGCAAGCGTTGAGTAAGTAAACTATATAGTCCTTCAGGGGAGGATACGAACGAGGGCAGGGTGAGACAAGGATGGTAAAAGGAAGTAAGCGAGGTGGCGTTCACGGTTTTAAATGGGGAGGTTGAAGTGGACCTGCGTGAAAGGACAGACTTTCCTCTGAAGTGTGGAGCCTTGGGTGGTTTTCAGACAGGAATTAAGAAGGAATGAATTGCTTTCCCCTTATTTCTCTGTTGTTTTTATGGAACTTCTATTTGTCAGTGCTGGGCCTTCTAGAATGGCGCTCTAATTTTTTTCTCCTCTTTTCTGGGTGCCTTCCTCACCTTTTATCAGATCTTTTTCTCCACTCTTGCATGGTCTGTTTCCATCCGATTTTTGTTTTCAGTCTGTTTTTGTAGCTGTCTTTCTTTGTATAGGTTCTGATCAGAGTCCAGTAGTTCTTAGCTGTCTGCTCTTACTTAAAATCTCCCTGCATGCTGAAGTGTTTTACCAGGACACTCTCCGGTGTCATTAGTTTCAGATCTTCATCTCTTAGGCTGGTCAAATTGAGCATAGACTTAAACTTCTCCCGAAAGACTTAAACCTGGCTGTCAGTGTTCTAAGAAGTGTCCTGCCTGAAGGACAGCCACCTTCGGCTACGAAAACCATTCCGCCCACCTGTGTCTAGTCTAAAACTGCTCTTGTTCTTTTCACTGGAGGATATACTTGGAGCCCTCTGCTGGGACTGAGGAAGAGCTGTGGGCTTCCCACATTGATTCCACTGCCCATCTGGGTTTTTTCACCCACCCCTCATCCTGCTCCATGCTGCCATCACGCTCACATCTCTGTTGTTGCAAGCTTATGCCCCTTGAAAGCCCTTCTGTCATTTTTTGTAGAATTAGGCAAAGCAGCAGTGGCAGATTTGGTTCTTTCATCTAAGTGTGTAGACATCATTAGCTTTCCTCACAGTAAGTATAAGACTGGGCCTCAGTTGCTTCACCTGAAAAGTGAATCATACTGATTAATTTCTCAAGTTCCTTCCATCTCATACATTTTATAATCGTAGAGTACTTATCGTTGAGTCAAAAGAGCTCTTCCTTTTTATTGAGGGGATTTCCTTTTGCCTTAAATCCCTACAGCTGCTAGCAGAAGAAAGTCTTCCAACAACCCCATTTTATTTCATACTGGGAAAGCACAGGCAACAAGAGGATAAAAAACTAAATGAAGCTCTAGAGAGCGAACTGGTACAGCTACCTTTAACAGAGAACATACCTGCGATCAATGAGGTGAGTGAGTAGAGCAAACCATGTGAAACAGATGAAATGCATTCGTTTTTGAATAATCACTGGCGTCCTCTATAGCATTAATACCCAGACTAACAACCTTGTGACTTGAGGCTCTCTTGGCCTGGACCTCCTGGGCTGATGGGGGAGAGAGTTTGCATAAATGTAGGAAAGTAGAACGTTCTTCCTTCCGTTTGGTTTTGCCTTTTGTGTCAGATTCTTGGCACTTGCTCTAAAAGTACTTATGACGTGGATGGAACATGTTGCGCCAAAGAATAATCTTTTTAAATATTTCTCTTTCACTGCAGCTGCTTCACACGCCAGCCCACGTGCTGCCCTCTGCCTCTTTCCTCTGCTCCCTGTTCGTGAATTCCTTGTTGCTGTCTGAAGAGACCAGAAGGTAAAGCCGGTTCTTCAGACAATGTGATTGTATTCTGTCCTGGGAGATAGGGTGGCTCGTGTTACCCTTTATTGAGATCCTTCCACTGTCTTCCCTGCATTTGAGTTTTAAAGCATAATAAAGGACGTAGGCTCATTCGGTGAAGCACATGGAAGATAACCCAGAAAAACTGCTCCGTGTGTGCTTACAGATGTGGTACATAATTTCATATTAGGGTTTTTATAAATGCTCCTGCTCTTTTATAATCTTTAAATTTAAAGTGCATTCAAAACAAAATTTTTGATGTTTCTGAATGATTATATTTCTATATATTCTTAAATTAGAAAGTTATTCTCTAGAAATATTTTAACTGTTTTATCCTGTTACTGTTAAAGTGCTGAGGAAATTCCTGATGATGTCAGTATGGAAGAAAAGGAAAGTGATGATTCAGACGAAGAGAACAATGTTACTGAACATGTCCAGGATACACAGAGCGCAGCTTTGGAAGAAGACATTGTATATCAGTTGTCAAAATCCGAAGAAAAAGAACTGAGAAAATTCAGGAAAGTAGACTACAGCTGGATTGCTGCACTTTAGGCCTTGGGGACGGCGTGGGGTGAGGAGTCTTGCACCTTGTGTTTTTGATTGTTGGTACCCAAAAATATTTTTCAGTGTTATTTCTGTTCTCAAAATATTAAATGTTCACCAAAAAACTAGTAATACACTGCTTTGTGTGCTGATCAGTTAGTTGCCATTGTCTATGCTGTCTGTTACTTTGAATTGTATCAGGCTGGTAAAGTCGGTGATGGCGCAGAAGGGAGACTGAGCTCACGCAGTGCATGTCCCTTTATTCACAGGTCGGAGATGTGAAAATTGTGAAAATCAAAAGCTTAGCTGATGTTAACCTTGTAACCGAAATGCATTTGGTAGCCAGAGATGACCTGAGCTGGTGGGAGGGGCTTTGGACCTGATTCATTCCTGTTAATAGAATTATCCCAAGTGAAATTCAGAGGTAATTTGATTCTGTTTGTTCCACCAACCATACTAAAGATATTATGGGCTGCTCTAAAATCTCACAATTGCAAATTCAAATCATCTGGCCCATGTTTCCCCTCGCTAAGTGGAAAACAATCCAAGTGCCCTTTTTAATGTTATAGTGGTATAAAGTTGCTACATCTAAACTACTTAGCATTTTACATTTTCCAGTTCCCTGATAAGAATTTTGTAAAATTTATATGAAAATGTTAACATAAAAACAGTAAAGCACACGAGTCCCAAGAGTACACCTCAATGAGTGTTCACAAGACTGCTGCAAGTGGCTTTCAGCAGTGTGTGCTGAAGACCGAATACCCCCCCACCCCACCCCTGCCACCTACCTGTTAAAATCCAGTCTCCGCTCTGCTGGGATTTGGAAGTAGGGCCTTGGGTGAGGGTTAGTTGTAAAGATGGAACCTTCATGAACAGGGTCTGCAGAACTCCTCCACCTCTTATGTGGGCCACAGCAAAAACAACCACCTCTGAACCAGGAAGACAGCTCTCTCTGGGTGACAAAAGTGGTACCTTCCTGTTGGGTTTCTAGCATTCAGAAGCTTCTAAGCCACCCAGCATATGGTGTTTTGTTAAAAGCAGCCCAAATGGACTGAGTGTTTGCATTAATGAGTAAGGTCTGTATTTTTTTTAATGTAGCAGCTCATAAATTATATAATTCATATATTTCAAGTAGACAATTCGGTGGTTTTTAGTGTCAGAATTGTACATCATTGCTGCAGTCAATTTCAGGATAGTTTCACTGCACCAGAACTGCCTGTTTCCCTCAGCCTCCCCACCCAAACCCCTAAGGAAACAACTAATGTTTGTCTCTGCCTTTGCCACCTCAGTACAAGTCATATAAATGGAATTACACATCACATGGTCTTTTGGAACTTGCTCCTTTCACTTCCCGTCCATGTCATGTGCTACATTCCTACTTACTGTCTTCATGTCTCCTGGGTGTATACCTCAGTGAAATCACTATCATTTGGTATCTCGCAGTTTAACCTTTTTCAGAACTACCAGAGTTAGAGCAGCTGTCCTGTTTCATATTTACATGATGGCATAGAAATTGCCCCGTTGCCTGACCTGTTAAATGTAGAACCCTTTGAAAAGATTTGGTTATTTTTGCTGTTTCAAGTCCTTTTAATCAGTTTTAAGTTAAAATGGAGAAGATACAGAGATGTCTCCTAGGCCATCTCCTCACATACGTGCACAGCCTTCCCTGTGAGCAAACTCCTCTTCCCCAGTTCCCCACCTGCCCGCCCAGCAGTTAGCACCTCACAGCTGACAAGCCTACACCTGACAATCCCTCCAAGTCCATTTCGTGGTTCGCTCTTGGTATTTCACATCCTGTGGGTTTGGGCCAATGTGTCCATCACAACGGTATTTTACAGAGTATTGCTCTGAAAATACGGGGTTAGTTTTTGAGGCCAGTCTTCGAGATTTGCGCTAATCCCAAAAGGACTCTCGCTGTCTGTCCTCTGTTCTTCCTGGTAAATTGGTTTGTGGTTTAGTTTTTGTCCTCCTGGGCTGCCAGCCTCCTTTCAATGGCTAACCACCAAGTGCCCCATTGTTTTTTAAATCACCCTCAGACTTGAACTTCTGCACTCTTTATTTCAAATGTCAGCATCCTGTACTTAAGGACTGCCTTTTACCCCTGGTAACTGGGCGGGCACGGAGGCCCATCTTGGGGTGACACTGCTGCTTCACAAGCTGGGCCGACAGAGCCCCTGGTCCTGTCTCCCGGCATGGAACTTCTGCCCCTGAGCAAGTGCAGCAAGGACAAGTGGGGGCCTCCATGATTCTCAGCCTACCCTTGGGGTAGAAGCTCTACTCTAACAAAGGTCATAGGCTGGGGAGGGACAGGAGACCCCGACCTCTTAGCCTAGCACTTAGCATCTGCAACACAGATGTGGGGATTATAAGAAATGCGGGAAGCTGAGTGCAGAGAGCAAATTATCCTCATGCCCGCTGCTCCCCAGAACAGCTCTTGTGAGGCTGTGTGGGGCTAGGGATGAGGGAGCTGCTTATGCTTATACAACTCCAGCTGTTCTTGCTGCCAAAATTTATTCGATTTTCTTCAATAAATGTTATATTTGCTCTTTGCCCTTGAGATAATTTCTGGAGACTATAAATGTTTGAGTATTTTAAGGTAGTTTTTGTCAATTATGCTTATTCTCTGGCCAGGGATTTAGCTCAGTGGTTCCACTGCTTGCTTTACAAGCTCAAGGTGGCTGCTCAATTCCTTAACACCTGGGCTTCTGTCCAAGAGATCCGTTGTGGTGTCTCCTCTCCCACAAAACACCTGCCCTGTCATGGTGGACAAACTCATAAAGACCCTACTTCCTCACAGTTCATCTCGTGACCCCAGAAGTCTGTACACTTGGGGCTTCCACCGTTTTCCATGACAAAAGGCACAGCCTGTGACCCGGAAGTACTCACCTCAGCCCCCTAGTGGATGGACCCCAGGCTAACCACGTGCGGTGTGTCCTGCATTTCACACATGTCACATGGTGTCCAGGATTCCATGCATCAGGTATGACTCCATTTGGACAAATGAGGACACAGGCCCCAAAGGGACTAAGTAAATGCTACCAAGATCACTAGGCGATCAGAAGTGGGGCTAAGACCCAGAACATGCCCTGTCAAATTGAAAATCTGCCCCAGTAGAATAATTTTGCCTCCCAGACTCTTAAAGCAGCTAGTTGGTGTTACAAAGTCACCTATAACTGGAGAAGAATTGTGAGAATAAAATAGTCCAGATGTAGTGCAAACCCCAGCTATAAACAAAAGCTGGCTATCTCTGTGACCTGGCTAAAGTCTTTAAAGCATTTAAGTTTCAACCTCTGAATCTTTAAAATGAAGTATTCACTCCTTGTACAGATGGCTCTATTTTCCTGACCAGAAATGTTATGTAGCAAATACAGAGAAAATGTGTCAGATTTTTATATCAGATTATACATATGCGAGAGTATGTTGATGGCAAATTTAGGTTAATTGAATAACTATTAATTAGACAGGCTTACTGTTGATGCACTGGAACAACATTCCTCTTTGGAATTTTTTCCTTATAGAATAGCACCAAGGTGGAAATTATAAAACATATTGTAATGTTGTAGATAATGTATTTGAAAGAATTTCGGGTTTTTGTACTATGATTCTAATGTACCTTTTAACAGAATCCTGTCAAATATAACCATCTAATTAGGATTTTCTTAGTCTTATAAACAGCACTGACATTCTGTGAAACCACTTTCTCTGAACTAGTACTTCTGGAAATTATGTTTTCCTCTGCTAGCTGTGTTTCTTGAAAGTCGTGGAAAGGGCAAAATTATTTTATGACACTAAAGCACAGACTTGGGAGGGGGAGTGGAGAGAGCATGGCTAGTGGGAATATGGATGCAGTTGGATGGGAGGACTAACTTGTAACATCCCAGTTAATTTAATGTCGCACAATAGCACATGGAGAAGATTCTGATTATCCCAAGTACAAAGAAGTGATAAATATCTGATACCTTACCTTTGTCCTGGTCTGTTATATGAAAGGTGTGCTCAGCTACTGAGAAGCAAACCACCTAGAGAACACATCTTTGCTGGTGTATCCTATGACTGGGAGTAGCTTGAACCAAGAACAAGGTATTTCTATTCCACATTTGTCTCTGCCTTCTCCCTGAGTCGTTCTACTTCCTTTTCTCTACTGGGAAAGCAGAACACTCTGAATATTTCTGCTTCCGTGGGGGCATCTCTAGCAGAAGCAGTATGCATGACAGTCGTCATGGGCCACAGTTACTCCTTGGGGTGCCATGGAATCTGCCTCCACGGAGCTGCTGGGGTGCAAAGAAAGTATAACTTAACCCCCTGGGACTCCACCATTCCTGGGAAAAACCACTTCAACTTCTGGGGCATCCTTTTCCTCCTTAGAGAAGTGGGAGGAGTCTAAGTCATGTCAGGGGCCTTCCAGTCCTGGGAGTCCTTGATTATAGAGTACTAGGAAAAGCCAATTGCAATTAAGATGGAAATTCATGCTTTGGCAATGGGAACTCGTTGAATTTGCTAATACCCTAGATGGTTCTACTATGCTGTGCAAAATATTGCATACAATTGAAAAGCAGAGGCTCAGCTCACAGACCTTCTCCAGGCGTGGACTGCAGGGAGGCCACCTGGGTGCTGCCCCAGTGGGTGCTGCCGCCCCACTGTGTGAAAGGGCAGTGAGGGGGTGAGCACGCGCAGGGGCAGACAGGCGTGAGGGTGAAATAACTCATCACAGAGTCATTACAGAAGTTTCTTACCTAACAGCAATGAAAATAATGCTCAGTGTTTATTTAGGCTCCATCAATGTGCCACTTAATCCACACCTCAGGATATAGTTCCATGTCAAAGTGCGGTCTTGCTGTCTCTTTCCTTGAAAGATAGGACACTGGCCCAAGAAGTTTAGGTGAAGTGACCAGAGTCAAAGCCTGACTAGATGGAAAAGCCTAGACTCAAACTCCACTTGGCCCAGGGCCTGCTCCCTTAGCCACTGGTGTCCGCAAAACTTAGGAAGCAGGTTTTCTCAGTGCCACCATCACAGTGCTCTTCCTCCTCCCAGCATGCAGCAAACGCAGGAACACTGGAACGTCTGGAACATCTGCCTTCTGGCCAGTCTGGGTTGGGCCAGCGTCTCTGCCATCCCCACCAGCCAGCCATGCAGTGGTCATGTGATGCCCCCCTCTGCCCTCATCCCCACCCTCAGGGGGCCCTCTAGCCTCCTTCCTGCCCCCTTTTAACCTTGTCAGAGCCTCCATTGCTCTGCAATCCCGGATATGATCCTGACGCCACTCAGCTGCCTGGAAGGTGACCAGCTGGCTCAGCATAAGCACTGCTGCCACTCTGCGGGCATGGGCAGAGCTGTGACTGAGATACAGTGCAGGCCTCCCTGCTGGCACCGCCCCGAGAGCTGCAGGCCACTTGCACCCCCGCCATCCTGTAGCCCTGCCAGCCTGCCGTTCTCCCTCTCCAAAGCCAGGTATAGCAGCTGTGTAGAAGACAAGGAATCCACCCGCCCACGTGGGGCTCACCTGGGCAGGTCTCTACCTGATCCCAGAACTGACCCTGATCCTCTCTCTGCTGCCCAGCTCGTGTCATCATCAGGGATTCATAAAAGAAATGTTACAGCTGTCAGAATCTGCATAAAGTCACTTGGAAAAAAAAAAACTAACAAGAAAAAAAGTAATTAAGCAGGAGGTTATGAAGGAATGGTCCTTACACCTGACTGCCTGGTAACGGCTCTCACAAAAGCCTCGGCCACACCAAAGCTTGCACAGAAGCTACCACAACCGTATACAGAAAGTACTACGAGGACCTCTGTCCGTTCTCAGAACGAAGCCACTCTAGCTCATCGGAGTGGCCGAGGACTGGAGTGTTACAGGGCCTCTGTCATCCTTCTATTGCTCTGAGTGCCGTAGCTTACCATGCCATTCACCTTCCCTGCTGTTGCCACTGCAGGCTTCTGCTGTTCCCAAATGAAGAGCATTAGTCTTTCACTCTCGTGTCCTGTTTAATCTGTTACCTTATTCCCTCCAGGAGTGGGAACTTCTGACCTCTAGATTCCAAGACTTGCACTTCTCTGCCCCTGGGTATGTCAGACTGTGCACTGCCCTAGACTAAAAGCTGCTTTTTGTTTTTCACAAAGAACATGTGTTGCATTTTAAAAAGAAAGAAAAGAGGTATGCAGGGAGACACCCATACCCAGACGCCAATCTAGTTATCACACACCAAGACCCAGCCACCTCTGAAAAGCAAGGCTTTGAGGGGACACCTAGATACAAACCATAAGGCCTGCAATCGCCACAGACAGGCAGGTGTGTCAAAGAGCAACAGCAGAGTCCGACCTCGAGCTCAGCCCCTGCACAGCCAAGTGAAAAGCACTGCCTCGCTGGCCCTGCAGCTGTCCTGGAGTGTGTGCTATTACTTGAAGCATGTCTACCCAGGCCCCTCTGCGCTTTACAAAGTGAAATGACCATAGACTGCCTCATTGGTTTTAGTTAACAAAAGTGCAGGCAGAAGAGTGACTAGGATAGTCCAGAAGTAAGTTTCTCACTGAAAGCCAAATGACAAATAGATGACAAAAATTCAAATTCTACTCCTGACCTTTTAGCTACAAATCCAGTCATTTCATTTTGTGTAA